ATGAGGGAAGGAGTCTGTGAGAGTAAGCCAAAAGCATTCTTCAGCAAGATCTAAGGACGGACTTCTCCTTAGGAGTTTGGAAGAAACGGTTAACACAGAAAACAAATCCCTCAAAACAAGAATAATTCCTGCGCTCTTCAGTCCCTGCCACCGTCACCTAGAAATCATCACTCTCTGTCTTCCTAGGCCAGGCTAGACTGCTCACCACAAGCTTCTCAGAGTCCCTATAATTCTCCTAAATCAGTCATCAGACAGATTTATATCCTGATAAATTGTGCTCCTGAGAGCACTGCCAGCTCCCAAACAGATTGTGGGGGGCATGGTAAATAGATGCAGAGTGCAGATTCACAGCAGCCTAAGCCAAGCCAGCTCCCAGATGCCACAGCTTTGTCCTCTCCCTGGCCATTCTTTCATCTACCCAGCAACAAAAAGGGAGAAAACACCAATTTTCCTCATGTTTACCAGTCTTTTCACGAGTTATGCTTTATTTACACTTCAAAGATAGGTCTTCAATGCTTTCTGAAATGTCTCAAGTTTTAAGTAGAGTGGAATTTTTTTCCCTCTACAGCCTCCAAACATCCTGAAGTGGGGAGTAAAAAGCAAGGAAGTGATGGAGGACCATGACCTGCCTCCCTTCTCACATCACACCCTCTAAAAAGAGGTGATGACATGTAGGTTAGATACAGGTGCATGACAAACTCTTCCCTGGCTTATGTCTCCGTGACATGAACGCTTTGGAGACTGAGGGCTTTCTTATTAGTGTTTTCTGTCCTATTAGTGTAGTCCTGTGTCTTGTAAGCCTTTCTGATCTCTGCTGAGATGTGTTAACACATGCTGTAATGAACAGAAGGTGCTTGTCCTGTAAGGTAAAAAGACACTGCAATACTTAGTGAGGCCCATCTCAATATAGTATGACAGTTGAGAGGCACTTTTTTAAATTTTTTTTGAGTTATCTCTGTGCAATAATACCTACTATTGCATCATCTGTCAAAACAATGGAGTGGCTCAGTGACACAAAGCTAGGCTCAGTCACTTCACAGCTATTTAGGCTTAGAAACTCTCCTTGTCTTCATGCCCACAGATGTTGGCAGCTGTTGGGTTGTGGCTGTAAGACCATGGTCAAGAGTTCTGTGATTTCCTTGTTTTACCCTGACTCATAACATGTCCCAAGATGCTCTTGGCTGTTGTCGTCCTGGAAGAGTTTTGGGTCTGAGGTTGCCTGGTTCAGCATCTCTCCACCACTTAACATGGCGACCTGTTGACCACATCTTGGCCTCCTACCTTTTGCTGCAGTACCAGCAAAAAAAAAGAAAAAATGCAGAGGCACACAGCACAGGCGCATCTGAACACAGATATTTGTGTTTAGTGTAGAGAACTGATCCACAACCAAAGAGATAATTTCCTCATCAGTTTGTTCTGCTTCGTTTTAAATCGGAGGTCAGGGAATTTCTGCTCAGGGAGGATGTATCAGATGTGATCACTTTGGGGAAGGGACAGAGATTCTGGTAATTGCCATGGAGCAGAGGCTTATGTGGTAGAGGACAGGAGCCCCCTGCTGCTCCCAGTCAGCAGGTTGTTCGTATTTAGCTCCCCTCAGACTCCCAGGTGCTATACTGCTGCAGCACCTTCTGCAAAATCCCAGTGGCAACTGCCAAGTCTTTTTGCCCTTTTCAATTGAAAATGCCAAAGAAAGTTTGGCTCCCAACATCTTCAGCTGACCTTAAACATCAGCAGCCAAGATCACTGAACTGCTACAAATTTTGCCAAGGAGGAAGATGAAGAATCCTGTCTGTAAGCTTCCCTCTGTGAGATGCCACTGTTCTAAGTATCATTTGCAGATCTTTTCGAGGGCAATATGCCTTCATTTACACCACTGGAACTTCACTGACCTCCTGGAAAGCACAATCATATTCCTATCCCATTGCTGCATGCTTCCACAGAGAGTTTTGTTGCAGATATTTTTTTGATGAGGAGAGTAGCAGATCTGAGTTACACTCTCTTCAAAGCCTCTGATACCCAGCTGCTCATGGTAAAATTGCTCTCTCTGTTTCAGGGGAAATAAACACTTACAGGTGGAATGTCCCAGAACGATCTGGTCCTGGTAAAACAGATCCAAACTGTATCACTTGGGTTTATTATTCAACGGCAAACTTTGTAAAGGTAACCAACAAATGGCCCTTAAAGCTTACATTAGTTTGGCTAAAGCATCCTGCCTTGCATAATGTTTCTGAAAGGATTCTGCTTCTCATTTTGGGGAGGACCACAGGCTAGAAGAGCCCTTTACAGAGGTAGATGCTTTGTCCTCTTTGATAACAGTTGCACATGCCTGGGTAATTTAATCTACTAAAATCCCAAGAGATACACCATGGTAATGTGATTTCCTCCTTAAAGAATAATTGAAGGGATTTTGGGTGAAGGCAAAACATTACACAAAATCACAGAATCACAGAATGGGTAGGGTTGGAAGGGACCCCTGGAGGTCATTGCTTTGGTAAATTAACACAGAGACATGTAGAGAAAGAAATTTTTAATCAGACAGAGTACTGATTTTTTTTTTCTCATCTGATAGGAAAAAGGAATTTAATCTTTAATTAGTCTGTATCTATTCCATGACTGGAGGAACTGAGAATCTGTAATACATATATTTATTTTATTTCAGGACACATACAGTGGTCTGATTGGGCCTCTTGTAGTTTGCAGAAAAGGAACTCTGGATGAAAGAGGTCTAAGGAAAGACATTGATCGTGAATTTACTCTTCTGTTTATGGTGTTTGATGAAAATCAATCCTGGTATTTGAAAGCAAATATTGAAACATACCTTCATAAGAATCCTGATGATTTTAATTCCACTGAGAACTTTGTAGAAGGCAACAGCATGCACGGTATGTAGGACTCAGTGGCTGCAGCCAAAAGGACAGAGGTTTATTTTTAGGAAAACATTGGACTTAGCCTGCAGTTACTCAACCATGTGACGACTTCATAAACTGCAATGCTGGAAACAAAAAGATTTCCCGAGGCCCAGCCAAGATATTTTTCTAACAAGATAGTTTAGTTGTATATACTTGGGAAGCTGCTGGCCTGCCAGACTTCCCTTGCTATTTGGGAGCCATGTTCCTCACAGGCTTGTTCTGTAGTAGCATGAGGATGATATTTTAAAACTGTGGCTGTAGTAGCAATCAGCCCAGGAGCCAGACAGAACATTCTGGATGGGGACATGAACAGCCCTGGCAAAGCAAACTTCTTTCTACAGGTGGCACCCATTTTGGGCAACAATTCTATTTTCCTCTTTTTCCATGTAGCTTCTCAGCAAAAATCCTGTTTGTTCAGGAGTTCAATCTCAACTAGAAAAAAGTTGATTTGATGCTTTTCAAGACAATGTTTGCTGATGTATACTTACATTATTTGGAAACTGAAACAAAAGCATGACTGTTTCCCCACAATGGCAGTGGGTCACTATGGAAAGCCCTTGCCCTGATCACACATGCCTGTCCCCTCTCTGCGTGACCACTCCTTCTTCCCCAAAAGTCTAAAGTGTGCCTCAAATGCAGGTTATCATCATCCATAAGATGGCCAGTTATTAATCATCCCTATTTTGTCATTCTTCCAGCAATCAATGGGAAGATTTATAACAGTCTCTTGGGTCTAACAATGAATGAAGGTGACAGGACAAACTGGTATTTGATAGGAATGGGCAATGAAGTGGATATCCATACAGTTCACTTCCATGCACAGACCTTCATCTTCAAGGTTAGTAAAATAAATCAACGTAACACCTCTATAGTGTGATGGGAAATTTCTGAAAAAAAACCAAACCAAACCAAACCAGGTTCCAGCTTTGTTTTGTAGCTTGGGCACAGAGCCCTGGGCTGATGCGGAGGTTGGTGGGAGTTTTGCATGTGAAGGTATTAGAAGATGAATGATATCCTTGCAAAGCTTCTATAACTCTGAGCCATATTCATGTTATGAAACATGAATACAGGGCACTATTAGAGGATATGGTTAAGTGGGTTAAAATACATGTTTACCCATAAGTATGAGGAAAGATACACAGGTAAAATCAGAGCAACACCTGCTTAGAGTATGGTTTAATGTTGTAACAGCTTGCAGGTAGGACTTCCTAAAAAAATCTCTTTCAAAGAAACACTTCTGCTCATCCAGTATCTGTAGTCATCAGGAGGAGTCTCCTGTTGTTATTTAGTGGATTAAATGAGAGGTGTCCACAGACTGCAGTTTACCTGGATGAGGCTCTCTTAGAAAGCAAAAAGAAGCATTTCATCTGCCTTGAGGAGCTGGAAGTTTAACTGGAACATTTCAGTGCCTGTGGGGGTATTTGAGCCAACTCTCCGCTTTTTCCCTGCCACAGACAGATAAGGACCACAGAGGAGATGTATATGACCTTTTCCCTGGGACTTTCCAGACCGTTGAACTTGTAGCAGAAAACCCTGGAACTTGGCTTCTGCACTGCCACGTAGCTGATCACATCCATGCTGGCATGGAGACAACCTACACCATCAATAAATCAGGTGCAGTATTAGAAACTTCCTAGGACTCAGAGATGGTATTCCAGCATAGTTGGACGGATGGAAGGCAGAGAAGAAAGGAGGAGATCCAATGTCACCGCCACACCCTGCACACTGGTGGGAAGTACCTGTACATTACTGCCACGGCCAGTCAGCATCATCTACGGACAGGATGAACACTCCCAATGACATGGCAAAGACAGTAATCTTTGCTGCACTGTGCAACTTAAAAAGATTTGGTGCTTCACAAGTGCCCTTCTGACACAGTGGCATCCACAGGTGGTGCAGAAAACATCTGCAAAGCTGGTTTTAAGTCCTTTTTGCCACACGGTGTGTGGAAAGGCCTACAGACTGGCATGGCGGTGGTTCCTCCTTGTGATAACTGTTGACTCACATAGGCAGACCAGCTGAGATAAAAGATGTTCCAGAAAATGATTGTTCAATCTTGTCCAAGAAATAGGCGATCCCTTGACTAAGAAAAGTTGGCAAACCTTTTGAGTGGTGCTGGTCTCTTCCATCACATGTGAGTGAGTGAAGCCAAAAGTACATTGTGAGCCTCTCTACATCATGTAACTTCACTAAACATCAGGATCCTGCATGTCCTGCTTGGGTCCCCACTGTGCTGTCTACACTCCTCTGCAGGGGTTATAACAGTGCCAGCAGGCACTCATACCTGTAACCATGTAGCACCAGGATGAAGAATGTAATGTCCAAATGTATCCAAAATACTGCTCCTTTGGATAAGGTGAATTTATTTTATACCACATATTCCTGTGGGCTGTGAAATTTCGAATGAGCGAGCAAGTGCAGAACTGAATCATGGAATGGTTTGGGTTGGAAGAGGCCTTAAAGATCGTCTGGTTCTAACCCCTCTGCCATGAACAGGAACACCTTTCACTAGGCCTTGAACACTGCCAGGGACGGGGCATCCACACATTCTCTAAACAACCTGTGACAGTGCCTCATCACCCTCATGATAAAAAAATTATTTCTTATGTCAAATCTAAACCCACCCTCTTTCAGTTTAAAACAACTACCCCTTGTCCTATCACTACAGTAAATAGTAAACAGTAAACAGTAAACAGTAAACAGTAAACAGTAAACAGTAAATAGTAAATAGAGATGCCTACAGAGAAGGAGGATGTTGCCCATGGAGCTGCCCAGAGCAACAGCTGAGCTGATCTAATCATGATTTCTGTTCAGATCAACTAGGTAGAAATAATTAAATAAAATCAGCACTAGTTTTTTTTGAAAGAGAAAAAATTATTTATTAAGGCTTTCGACTTAACTATGCTTTTCTTCTCCCTGCACAGAGTGGAAAGTTCCGTCGGAAGGAGGAGTCACAACTGGAGCATACAATACAACTACTGCAACAAATAGAACCACTGAAAAGGGTAAGGATTTTTTAAATTGTCATTTCAAATTCTTCAGATTCTTGCATAGCTTTCTTATTTACAACTTCTCTTTTAACAGATGATGACAGCAAGGGGGGCAATCATTTTGGCAAAACTCTGAGTCCTGGAGAAACCAGCCTGATACTCGCAGCTTTTTTTTTCATTGGACTTGTTCTGCTGTCAACAGCATTTATCTTCTTCTGCCTCGTCACCCACCAAGGAAACAGGATCCATTACACGGCTCTGCATGACAAAAGTGCACTTCTGGCAGATTCCTTGTAAATCCCCGTTTTTAACATCATTCACAGGGCCTCACTGGATTTCACAACATAGAATCATAAAATCATTAGGGTGGGAAAATACCTCTAAGATCACTGAGTCCAACCATTAACCTCATACTGCCAGGTGACATGCTGCTAATGAAACTGGATCAAGGCATATGCTGATAGTCCTACCCATAGCCAGCACTCACAAGAGTGAACATGAGCTGTAGGGCTCAGCTCTGAGAGCCATTTACCACCCACCACCATTTCCACTTCTCTGGAGTTCAGCTGAGCTTTGCCTGAGATCCAATACAGCAGCTGAACGGAGCAGCACACCTCTTGGCATCCGCATCAGCTAAATAGGATTTCCACAGGAGTAAGGAGCAAGCAGCAAGCAGCAGGGCATCCACTTGCTCTGTGCAGAAACATGGGGCTCACACTAGGAAAAAACACTACCAGGGACTGTTTTAAGTTGTTGGCTTCTGAAGGAGCAGGTGTTAATAATAAAGTTCCTGCAGTTTCCCAAAGTCTGACTTGCTGCCCGATAAAAGAACACAAACCAACAGAGTGCCAGTTTATGCGGTGCTTTAATTCAGGGCCCGGGGTCCCTGTGGACTCGTGTCCAAAGACAAGTACCCGAAGACCCACATTTCGAACGCAACTTTTATACTATTTTTCCAAGCGAGGTTACATGATAGGTTTTACATTTTAAAAGAAGACATAGAGGTTAAA